CTTCCCTGCCCAGCCTGGCTGGGCAGTCTGCGGCCCCTCATAGCCTGGGTGCTGGCCAGCTCCACTTTCCTTGAGTGACTGGCAAGTACAACAGGGCCTGGCGGGACTCATCATCAGACAGGCAACAGGGTATCTCCACAGATTCAAATTACAAAGGAAAGAATGGTAACTTACAGTGGAGAAACGTAGTAGATTCCACCTTAACCAAAGGATGGACACGTCCCAATAATGAGACAAACTAATCCGTGTCCCTCCTGACACAGGGCACTGAGAAGTGTGGCATCGTTTCTGCAGCAAGTAACTAGTGTGCTTGCAGAGGAGCTAGTGAGGAAGTGGTCCAGATTAAAGACACCAAAGTCACATGGCAGCCAGGTGCACTGGAAGGGAAACACTGCTATAAAGGACATGTTGGTCAGTCAGGGAAGTCTGAGCATGCACCATGTATTAGAGGATAATATCAATCCATGTTAATTCTCCTTCATTTGATCATTGGGTAGGAAAATATGCGCATCTTTAGGTGAAGAATGCTATTGTGGAGGAGATACAATACAGTGTCTGCAATCTCAAATGGCTCAAAATGGTAACAACAATGAGGACTATCTGTCTACCTACCTATCAATGTTGAGCAAATGTGGCAAATGTCAGTAACTGGTAATCCAACAGCTGGATGCTTGGTGAAGAATAGATGTACTGGAGTTAATTGTATTTTTATTGTTTTCTGTTTAATTTAGGGTTTTTAAAAATGATAGGGCTTTTTGTGTATAGATTACCGAGATATATACCAAAGTGAATTAATTTTTTTAAACTGGGGATTGAACCCAGGTTCCTTTACCAATGAGCTATATCCCTAATCCTTTATTTTATTTTTTAAATTTTTAGACAGGGTCTCCATAAGTTGGCCCAGCTAAATAACAGATCTCTTTTTTTTGGTGGGGGGGCACCAAGGATTGAACTGAGCCACATCGCAGCCCAATTTTGTATTTTATTTAGAGATAGGGTCTCACTGAATTGCTTTAGTGCCTTGCTGTTGCTGTGGCTGGCTGAGGCAGGAGGATTGAACTCTCAACTCCTGAGCCGTTGGGATTCTAGGCATGCATCACCGCGCCTGGCATATTATTATTATTTTTAATGCAGTGTTGGGAATCAAACCCAGGGCCTCACACATGCTAGGTAAACACTGTACCACGGAGCTGCATCCCCAGCCCTTTGGTCGATTTTCATCTGTATCCTTTCCCTGTAGCGAAGCGAAGCGTAACTGTGAACAATAGCTTTCAGTGAGTGCTCTCTTCCAGGGCAACCATTGACTCTGAGGGTGGCTCAGGGTGGAGATAGCCAACTTGCAACCTGTGAGGGCGGAGCTGGGGCTGCCCTGGTGTCACTGGTTGGCATCTAGGGCAGAGAAGGGCTGGTGGGCTGCTACCTGATGTCCCTCCTGCTCTCCACCCTGGAGATTCTGTCTCCTGAGGGTCAGAGACTTGACTACTAGTAGGGAGACAGACCCCAGGGCTACACCAGCCCACCTCCATGGCACCAGCCTCTCTCTTGAGGGTGAGCTAAGCCCCTCATCTTGCACCCCAAGTCAGCAGTTCTAAAGTCTGGTGGGAAGCAGAGTTTATCTGGGAGCCTTTCTTTTTTTAATTGAAGTGTAACAGAGCTTGATGAATATAAATTGAACACACAGAATATCACAAGCTTCTCTGCAGCCCCAGTTGCTGCCTCTCTGTCACTATCCTGCTTCATGCACAGAGCAGAAGCCTGGCACTGTCTACCTGACCAAACTGTCTGGGTAGTTGGTACACACAGCTGGAGTTGGCAGCCTCTCTTGGAAGTCTGCGTCTCCATCAGAAGCAAAACTGAGGTGCTTTGCTCCCAGCTGGCAGGATCTACTTGGGAACAGTGGAGCCTCCTGTGCCGGGGTCTGCAGAGTGTGTGGTGGCAGCTCCTGGAGTCAGGAAGTCCAACTGGTCGGTGCAGCCTGGGTATACAACCTCCCTCTCTGGCAGGAGTTGCATGAAGAGGTATTTTTGGAAGGTGCAGGAATTTTGTAGCCATTTGGAAAATGCCTGCTAATAGGCTGGGCTGGGTTTTCGTTTTAAAATGATGATGTGGCTGAGGGGCCTGACCTGGCCAGTTTTCTGAGACCTAGGGGTGGGGAAAGTGAGGAGACATGCTCATTTTTCCCCCTTTCCTTTAAATTATATCACCATTTTCTTTTTGTCTCAAATTCCTCTATCCCACGGGCTTCAAGAGATTGGTGAGGTGTCTCCTGAAGTGCCTTGGCTCTTCGATGCCGTCTGCAGGTAAGTGTTTCATCTTATCCCAAATTAGCCTGGCATTTTGGGTCACTTTAATTCCAGTGAAAGTTTAACCCTCAACTCCCTGTCAAGGACCCTGACTCTGATGCCCTCACCCAGTGTCCCCTGCCCTTCCTGACAGGACCCTGAGTGACCCAAGTACCCTCTGTTCTCTTCCCTGTGAACCTCTCTGCTTTGCCCTGGTGGCCTTCACAGACACCTGCAGCTCTGAGCTCTCTCACGACTCTTCCATCCACCTGTCCACCCGTGCCAGGCCCGGATGGGGGGCTGGACAGGTAACCATCTGCGGTTGTAATGACTTCTGTTCTTCCCCTTGGAAATCCCTGTTGTCCCACATCTCCAGTTTCCCCAGGGCCATGTCTGCACCCTGGGAAACAGCTCTGCTCTGCTCCTGCAGCTGCATCACAAAGGCAATCCGTCCTTTCCTTTTTCCAAGTCCTTTGACCCTGCCTTCTTACTTCCAGCTCCTTTGGGTTGAGATAGGAGATAAGGGAGGAGGGCCTTGGGCTGGGGTTAAAGCTCAGGGCTAGAGCACCTGTTCAGCATGCATGAGGCCCTGGGTTTGATCACTGCGTCTGCAAAAAAGGGAAAAAAGAAAGCAGAAAGGAGGACCAGGCATGGTTCTCTTCCTCAGATCCCCAAATCTGAGCCCCTGTGCCCCCACTTCTGTCCCCTCACCATGCCAGGCCCTGGAATGCGAATGCCATACAGGGAGGTCTGCTCTATTGTCAACTTTCCCCAGAGCAGAGCAAGGCCAACAAGCCCCAGACCAAATATGCCACTGCCACTGCAGTCCTCTTAAAGCCTGTGCATTCCTAGGTATGCCGCACACTGTCCTTCCAGCGGGTGTACTGCTGTAGTGAGGAGTGCTCGCCTAGCCCCGAAGGACTTCCTCCCTGGAGATGAGGCCCTGAGGCACTAGGTGTAGTGGCTAGCCCAGAGGGGAGGCTTCCAAGCTCTTGCTGGGATGGCAGTGAGACTTGCCCATTTCCTCCCTGTCCTTGGGACTGCAGGGGCTGTGGACGCTGTTTGGAAGAAGCAGGCTCTACCCACCTCCAATGGAATAAGATCATCGTCTTCATTTCATTTTAATTTTCCAAAGAAAAATATCAGGGTGGGTATTTCTTTTAAGTTTCCTCAGGTCAAATTGCTTACAAGACTTTGTAAATTGAACTAAGGAAAAAAGGTTAGGTACACAAGCCCTGTATCTTAGGGAGGCTCTATAGACAGGAGCTTTTTGAGATTTGCCATTTCATTCTATTCTTCTTTAAAAATTGCAGCTTTTTATACTGTTATTGAATTTTTAATACATTTATTTATTTTTATATGATGCTGAGGATCTAACCCAATGCCTTACCCATGCTAGGCAAGTGCTCTACCATTGAACTACAACCCCAGCCCTAAAAATTGCAGCTTTTTAAGCTATACTTTACATACAAATCATTTATCTATTTAAAGCCAACAATTCAGTGACTTTTAGTATATTCACAAATTGTACCGCCATCACCACATTTTAGAATATTTTCATTGGTTCCAAAAGAAACCCAGTACATTAGTGGTCCTACCCATCTTCTTCCAATCCCTTCCACCCAAGGCATCCAGTAAGCCATATAAATGGAATCATGTAACACGTGGTCCTTTGGGACCAGCTGTGCCCAGTCCTAATGCGTTCAAGATTCATCTGTTTTGTAGCATGTATCAGCTATTCATATATTTTTATGGCTGATACTATTCCATTGTATGACTGGACCCCATTTTGTCTACCCACTGATCAGTTGATGGATATCTGGGTCATTTTTATCTGGGTCATTTTTATCTTTTATTTTGGCTACACGATTTATGCTGCTGTGAACTTAATGTACAAGTTTTACTGTGGGCTTCCTGATCATTACAGCAGCTCTTTAAGATTTCAAAACCTGGTTCCGAGATGGTAGGGCAGAATTCTGGATAGGCTGTTGGCTCCTGAGCCCAGCATTCTGCAATCCACGTGGGCAGAGCTGAAACAGTCGCTACGCCAGGACCCGCTATGGGCGTGCAAAGGAGCTGCCACCGTCGATGACTGACTTTGCGCGGTGAAACCTGGACCCTCTCCTCAACCCCTCCCTTCTCTTCGCCTTTTTCCTCTTTCCCACTCGGTGGTCGGGACAGAAGTTACTCGTTGACAGTCTGTGGGAGCGGAACGCGGCGAATCTGACTCTTGCGGGAGCTGCGGGCGGAGGAGGTGCGGAGTACCTCTTGTTCAGCCCCGCGTCCTGCAGCCGGGGACATTCGGGCCTGCACGTGGGCGAGCAGGGCTACTGCCCTGCGGTTGGCCACGCGTGCTGCCGATCGGGTGACAGGCCGCTGGCAGGTGGCGGCGGTGGCGGCGGTGGCCCTCGGGCGCGCACGCGCAGGACGTGGGACCCCGCCCCTTGGCGTTCTGACCCAAGCCCCGCCTCCGAGGGTGGTCCTCCAGAGCCAGCGAATCAGAGAGGCCCACACGGAGCGCGGCCGGGCCCCCGGCAGCCAATCGCGGCGCGCGTGAGAGGCCGCTGCCTCCCGGCGCGCGCTGGGGCTACGACCTCTGGAGTCGCTGCTGAGGCGGCCGCGGTGCGGGTCGCGGCGGCGCGTCTCCCGGGGCCGGCCCGGGCTGGCGGGGGCAGCGGCGGCACTCGGCGGCGAGGGCGGGCTCCCGGGCCGACGCGATGGCGCCCACCTAAGGCGGTGGGGGAGGTGTCTGGGCTCAGCATGCCGGCGCGGCGGCGCGGCGGCTCCTCGCTGGTCGCAGGTAAGGGGGCTGTTGCTGCCGCCCGCCGCCCGCCGCGCCCCGGCCTGCCCCGGCCTGCCCCGACCTGCGCTGCCCTCCCTGCCTGCCCTTTTCCCCTCCTTCTCTTCCCCTGCCCTCCCCAAGCGCCGCGGCGTCCCAGCCCCGCATCCCTTCGGGGCTTCTCGCGTCCGCGCCCCGCAGGGAGCAGCGTTTGCGCGCCCCTCGCCGGGCTTCGCTGCCGCCGCCCTGCTCCCGTCCGTCCCGGCCTTCCTGCCGCGCCCCCTTGCATTTCAGTCTTCCCACCCCCACCCTAGCCTTCCCGCGAAGCTCCTTCTGCCTTTCAGTCATCCCAGCACCGAGCTCCCTTTGCATTTGAGTCAGCCTCTTCCCTAGACTTTCCGCCTGCTACCTGTGCTCCCCGAGCGTTTCACACGCCCCATCCTAGCCTTCCTGCCTGCCCCTGCGTTTCAGCCGTCCTCACCCAGAGCTCCATCCCTAGCCTTCATGTGTGCCTTCTGTCCCCTTCGTGTTTCAGTGGCTCCCACTCCATGCCTAGCCTTTATATCTTACGCCTTTGCATTTCAGTCTCCCCGCGACCTAGTGTGTGGGGGGGTGCATTTCATTTGCCGGTCCCCCACAAGGTGTCCCTGGGTCTTGCCTTTTGGCTCCCAGATGCCTTCCTTTTCCAACTTATCATCCACGTTTCTAACTTCTTCCTTCCTTTCCACTTAAATCTTGGGTCACTTTCCTACTCTTCTCAGCATGCCAGATCCATAGACTCAGCAGGCTATTCGTCATTAAATTACCTGCACCCAGAATATGTAAGGTGCCCAGCTCTGGGCCTGCCACACAGTGAGTTTGGCACACGATGAATGTTAACACCATCAGCCTCTGCCTCTTTCTAGGCCTTTTTGTGCTCTCCGGATGGTGCCAGAAATCCAGTAACCAGAGGGATTTTTGACTCTTCTACCATAAAAGAGGTATGGGAGATGGAAGGATGAATGAAGGGATTTCACTGTCAACTACATACTGCATTTATTCAAAACAAACTCAGTTCTGCTATCTTTGTGGCTTATATTGTTTTATGTTAATTGCCTTTGTAAAAAAATTTTTAGATTGCTGTTCAGGGAGCTTTGTGATATAATCCCATCCTCCCCTCTCATCTAAACAGTTTAGCAAACCTTTGTTTTAGGGAAGAAAGAGCCCCTACCTCCTGGCTGAAGCAGTATTTTTCTGTAATCCTGTTGACTTGTTTATTTATTAGTTGGCTAATTCAGGGAGCTGCAGTGAATTTTCACCCTTTAAAAGCCAGAGGAGGAATGGTAATAGAATGAATCAGACATCAGTACCCTGTGTGCATGTATGACCTATGTAACTAGATGAACAACCAGATGAATGAGAAGTTATACTCAATTTATGTATGAAGTGTCAAAATGCATTCTACTGTCATGTATAACAATTGAAACACATTTTTAAAAAGCCAGATGAACTCAGGCTTGGAATCAGCTGCTGAAGGGATCAGATAGGCTTAAGAGTGAAAGTTGTCACAAGTTCTGTAAGGGTTAAGAGGAACCTTCCACGTGTCTCTCTCCTACTTTCGCAATACTGTCTGTCGGAGAATAACAGTTTTTCAAAAGAGCAAAATAAATTTGACTTTAAAATTATCAAAGCATTGTTTTGGGCCTTGTGCTGTTCTCACCATATTTGCTGTGATGGTGTCAAGCCTGAATCAACTTTTCCTGCTTCTGGGCTCCCCAGGGTAGACTGGAGAAAATCATGTAACAGTGCTCTAGGTGCCGTTCTAAACTTCCCAATCCAACTTCACTTGCACTGGAGATCCTTTGAATCACCTCTTGGGTCCCTCTGATGTACTAAAGCCTGCATTGCTACTCTTCTCTCACCCTTGCTTTCTTACTGCTTGTTTGACCTTCTGCTTCATGGAAGAGATAGTGGGCATTGGTCTGGCCTCTCAAGGATCTGTCGGTACCTGTACTCATCTCATTCTGTTCTTTTTTCTTCAAGGCTGACATCTTTGGTCTTTGCCCATGTAGTCCTTTTTCTCAGCATGTATACATGCTCAGGTTTCCACCTTCCAAAACAAAACAAACCTTCCCTTGCTGCTTCCCTCTTTTTGTCTTCTTCCTTTCTTCGTCCTCCTCCTCCTCTTCCTCCTCCTCCTTCCTCCTCCTCCTCTTCCTTCCTTCTCCTCCTCCTCCTTCTCCTCCTCCTCCTCCTCTTCTTCTTCTTCCTCCTCCTCCTCCTCCTCTTCTTCCTCTTCCTCTTCCTTCCTCCAACTCCTCCTTCTTCCTCCTTCATCCTCCTCCTCCTCCTTCCTCCTCCTCCTTCCTCCTCCTCCTTCCTCCTCCTACCTCCTCTTCCTTCCTTCTCCTCCTCCTCCTTCTTCCTCCTCCTCCTCCTTCTTCCTCCTCCTCCTCCTCTTCCTTCCTCCTTCTCCTCCTTCCCCTCCTCCCTCCTCCTCTTTCTCCTCCCTCCTCCTCTTTCTCCTCCCTCCTCCTCTTTCTCCTCTTTCTTCTTCCTCCTCCTTCTCTTCCTCCTCCTCCTTCCTCCTCCTCCTTCCTCCTCCTCCTCCTCCTCCCTCCTCCTCCTCCTCCTCCACCACCTCTTCCTCTTCCTTCCTCCTCTTCCTCCTCCCTTCTCTTCCTCCTCCTCCTCTCTCTCTTTTTTTTTTTTGGTACTGGGGATTGAACTCAGGGGCACTCGACCAGTGAGCCCCATCCCCAGCCCTATTTTGTATTTTATTTAGAGACAGGTCTCACTGAGTTGCTCAGTGCCTCGATTTTGCTGAGGCTGGCTTTGAACTTGTGATTCTCCTACCTCATGGCTAGTGTTTCATTTTTGCCCATTTCTGTTTTCTCTGGCTTCCTTGTGAGATCACACATTTGTGGCTTTAAATTGCACTTGTGTTTAAGGTTTTAAAAGATATTTGTGCAGTCCCCATTTTCCTTGAAGTTCAGGGCCCAGTTTTCATCCCTCGACTGGATCGCCATACATGGATGATTGGTTCTTCATACATCGTCATCTTTTCCTTCCTTAACTCTACCCATGGGCCTCTTAAGCACACACCGAAGCTTTCCTCCTGTTTAAGGCCTTCACCTTGGAATCTCATGGCCATCCACCATACTCCGAGGGTTATGTCTGCCCTACTTCCTCTTGCTGCTACCTTACATCATTCTCTCATTGGCAGAGATTAGTTCAGGTCTTGGTTATATGCTTCCTGAGCAGTTAGCTGCTGGGTTCTGAACTCTGGTTCATCCTTCACACTACTCTTAGGACTTGTTCCATTTTTAAAGAGTGATCTGATCGTGCTGCTCGTTTTTATTTTATTTTATTTTTAGTTGTAGATGGACACAATACCTTTATTCATTCATTTTATTTATTTTTAAAAAATATTTATTTTTTAGTTGTAGTTGGACACAGTATCTTTATTCTATTTATTTATTTATATGTGGTGTTGAGGATCAAACCCAGGGCCTTGCACGTGCTAGGCAAATGCTCTACCGCTGAGCCACAACTCCAGCCCTATTTATTTATTTTTATGTGGTGCTGAGGAACTCAGTGTCTCACAAGTGCTTGGCAAGTGCTCTGCCACTGAACCACAACCCAGCCCCTCATTTCTTTTTCCTTCCTTCCTTCCTTCCTTCCTTCCTTCCTTCCTTCCTTCCTTCCTTCCTTCCTTCCTTCCCTCCCTCCCTCCCTCCCTCCCTGGGAATTGGACCCAGGGATACTTAACCACTGAGCCACATCTCCAGCCTTATTGTATTTTATTTAGAGTCAGGGTCTCACTGACTTGCTTAGTGCCTTGCCTTTGCTGAGGCTGGTTTTGACTTGGCGATCCTCCTGCCTCAGCCTCCTGAGCTGCTGGGATTGATTATAGGCATGTGCCACTGCGCCTGGCAAATATACCATACACTTCTTAACCATCATCTTCAATGCTCCCACCCATCTCTTCTGTCCTTAGGAAATCACTAATCTATTTTATGTCTCTTTAGATTTATATTATAGAATAGAAATAACTAAGGCTGGGGATATAGCTCAGTTGGTAGAGTGCTTGCCTTGTGTGCCCAAGGCCCTGGGTTCAATCCCCAGCAACACACACACACACACACACACACAGGAGAAAAAAAAAGAAAAATAACTATTCTGGATATGTCATTAATGGAATCATACAATGTGTTGTCTTTTGTTACTGGCTTCTTTCACTCAGCATAATGTCTACAGCTTTCTTCCCTAGTGTAGCATATATCAGTATTTCATTTCTTTCTCCCTAAATCAAGAAGTCTATTTAGGCACTATGATTGATGAGACAGTGGTGAAAAGGAAAAGTTACCTGCTCATATGTAAGAGAAAAGCATTGCAGGAAAGCCCTCTGATAAAAATAGACACTTTTTCTCCTTGGTGCTGAAGATCAGATCCAGGACCTCCCTAATGCTAGTCACATCTCTACCACTGAGCCAAACCTTCATCCTCCCTCTCAGAGAAAAAAATAGAACAGTTGATAAGTGATTGGCTAAATAGTTTGGATAGACGACGGGGAGACTTGTTTTGAGAGGTGACACATGGTTGAAGATCAGAAAGACACGAAAGAGCGAGCCATACAGTGATGGATCAGCTAGAAGAGTTTTTCAAGCAGAAAGAATAGTGCAAAGAGTCAGGAACAAGCCTCATGTTTACAAGGGAAGAACATCAGAACATCAGTGCCGGAAAAGAATAGGAAAAGAACCAGAAGAGCAGAAGTATTTATCAGCGAATAACAGGACAGTTTGTGGATAGGCTGCATTTTGTTTATCCATTAATCAGTTGCTGGGTATTTGTTTTTTTTCCACTCTGCTGTGGAGAGCGCTGCTGTGAATGCACATGCCCAAGTCTTTCTGTGGTTGTGCTTTCTGCAGTAGCCTCATTGTTGAGTCAGGGGGATGGCTCTAGAACCCAAAGGTTTACACTGGGAGGGACTGCAGGTCAGCGTGACTGGACTATTTCACATTTCCACTAACAGTGCATGAGGGTCCATATTCTCCACTCCTCACCAAAGCTTATTACTATCTGGCATTTTGATTCTAGCCATCCTTGTGGGTGTGAAGCTGAATCTTATTGTAGTTTTGATTTGAATATCCCAGATGGTAATGTTTGAGCAAATTTTCATGTGTTTTTTGGCCATTTGTTTATTTTCTCTGGAGAACTGTTCCCATATTAAGATTTCGTTGTCTTTATATTGTAATATATTCATATTCAATTATAATATATACATATATAAGACTATGCAATCTCTGTACTTTTTAAAAATTTCTTTGTAGTTATAGATGGGCACAATACCTTTATTTATTTATTTTTATGTGGGGCTGAGAATTGAACCCAGAGCCACACATTTGCCAGGCAAATGCTCTCCCAATGAGTCACAACTGCAGCCCCTTTGATCATACTTCTTCATTCCAAACTGAGTGCCTTTTAATTTATTTTTCATGCCTTTTTGCCCTGGCTAGAACCTCCTATGCAATGTTGAATAGCAGAGTTGTGAATGGATATTTTCTCTTGTTCAGGGAGGTCATTAAGTGTGAAATTACTATGTACTTTTTTTTTTTTTTTGGTACCAAGGATTGAACCCAGAGGCACTTAACTACTGAGCCACATCCCCTCCCCCCCCCCCCCCCCCCTTTTTATTTTGAGACAGGTCTCCCTAAGGCTTAGGGCCTTGCTAAGTTGCTGAGGCTGGCTTTGAACTTGGGGTCCTCCTGCCTCAGCCTTCCAAGCTGTTGGGATTACAGACGTGAACCACTACACCCAGCTTGTGCACTTTCTTAAATGTCCATTTTACTAGGCTGATGAGGTTTTCTTCTGTTTCTAGTTTACTCCATGTTTATTATGAAAGGGTGTGTTGAATTTTGTCAAGTGCCTTTTCTGTGCCTGTAGGTAGGATCATGTGTTTTCTGTCAATGTGTATTTTGTTGGTTTTCTTACGCTGGAC